GAAAAGCCACCTTTATAGCTTAAAATGTATACAGAATATTCTGCTGACAGAGAAGACAAATCAATGAAGATCTCAAGAAATTAAGTAGGTATAATAGTTTTCCAAAAAAAGAATGAGGAACGACAGGGGGTCTACAGCTTCGCAAACAGGGATACGTGGGTTCGCGCGAAGGCAATCGACATGATACAATGTTCGAAATAATATTCACTCTCAACATATTATTTTCCGACCCTTGACTTTTGAGAAAAAATGCGGCTGAAAATTACACATCACAAATTGTACTCCTGACTCGATCGTTTACAAAGCGTAACTAGGTTTCTTTTTGTTTGAGAAAGCTTACCTGCTCTTTTTTTGCCCGGTTTGCCGACACGCGTGGTTTCGCCTTTCAGCGGGGGCTCCTTTGCGAACACATGGGCTAAAAAACACAAACACACAAGTTTCAACAGCCGCATTTTCGCAGCGCAGCGCACAGAAACAGTATTTTCGACGAGGGAGGCGCACTTTCAAGGAGAATCGCGAACGAATGGCGACATATTGTTGCACGAGAAGGAGCCTTGAGCGCGAATAAAGGCGCGAAAAACGAGCACCTACCGTTGATGAGTTAGGATCATGGATCAGCGCACAACAGGACGAGCGCGGCCGACGAGAATGAGGCACTGAACACCGGCGCGTATTACGGCAAGGCGACGGCGCTACGCCTCCCTGGGCGCCCCCCTCCGCCTCGCCGCCCACCCGTGCCTCCAACGGCCCCCCTCCGTGCCCCCCACAGCTCGGAGAGGTGGTCCATGAATGCACTAGTAGTAACGAGTCACGGGCCGGGAGCGCGGTGCGGCGCGGCGGCGGAGGAAAATACTCATAATTTTATGAATGAATCGAGCTGAGAGTACAAATGTGACATAATTACTTGAATATTTATTATTCTCACTTAGAGCGTTCGTGGGTAGCGTCCGCTCAAGCTATCGTGATATTCTGCTAAAATGACTCCCGCCTGAACGGGTCAGTTGCGCCGGTCACAGAATCGTGTTTTCGTGCCTAACTCTTGTCGATTGGTTAAAAATATTAAGAGCCGTCCAAACAGCAACTTTCTACGCTCAATATTAACCGAGATTTCGCGCTTTGAGAAATTCCGTTTATGACGTCACCCACCGCGGTCGTGACACCATTGCTTCCTTCCACCTCGCTTTCTTGCTTTTTACCTCATTTATTCGTCATGTAAATTGCCGTGGCATTATGATAGAAACATAGGGAGTCTTCATTGTTTTGCAATTTCGATGACTTCGAAGAGCTAATTTTACAGGGCCGGATTATGGGGGTGGCCACATGAGCCGCGGCCCATGGCGGCAAATCTAAGGGGTGGCAAAAATTTGCAATTTTTTTAAGTGTAGGTATAAAAAAAATCGGATTTATAAAAACAAAATTACAAACGAGAAAAGGCGACAAAATCTCTCATTTCCTGAGAGTACAGTAATTTCTAATTTTGTCGTCTCTTAGTGATACAAGAGACAGCACCCTCAATAAGTCGAGTTACGAGAGAAACCAAACACGCAATTTGGCCTAGAACGGCGCGACTTGGAGAGAAATAATAACGAGGACTTGAGATGAAAAGGAGCAGCCCTCGGCGTGGCGATCGGCATGTAACACATATTAGCGCCTACAAGACTGCACGAATACTTCACGCATTGCGCTAAACACAGTGCGGTCAGCGCGAAACGCATAGCGCCTACAAGACTGCGTAAATACTTCACGCATTGCGCCAATCACGGTGCGGTCGGCGCGGCACGGCGGCGGAAGTTAAAATCATTAAACTAAATTTTGTGTTTGTTCTTTCATAATTTTTTCGTTCATTTCTCGAATTTCTTCGAATGGAAGGCCTTGTCCACACAGAGATTGGTTTACGGAACTTAACTTTCGCGCAAAGTTTCGTGAACTTTTGCTAGTAGTGTTGACAGGGCTCTCCCAAAAAATGTGTTCAACACGAGTAAATGCGTCTTATGCACTCCTCCCCCGCTGGCACGTTCATTTGATGGTTTTTATCGAGTTTCAAAACGAATGAGAAGGGGGCGGCAAAATATAGGCGGCGCTATGGTGGTAAATATAGGCGGTATGTAGGTGAATCCGGCCCTGTAATTTTATCGAAAGATCAGCGATTTGCCCGTGATTATGACGGAGCGCTGCCTTGCGCGCTTATTGGTGAACATTCCATGCAGTTTATTATTTAATTACACCTAAATAATTATGATTAGTATAAAGAAAAACCAATCAGCGTAGAGAGGCAAGGAACACACATTGATTACTCATTTACTACGTATCTTTCATTCTGTCGAGTTCGCCTACAATAACCGTGACGGCAATATGAGCGGCTTTGGGGTATGCATAGTTGTGCGCAGCAGTTTTGTCACTTGCGATGCGCTCTGTCCCGATAAGAAACTCGCACTAGGTAATTAATTACTCTCCTCACTGAGTCTCTCATTCTATCGAGTTCGCCTTCAATAACCGTGATGACAATATGAGTGGCTTGGACGCTCAAATAGTTGCGTGCCGTCACTTCCGCTTACTGTGAGTCCGGCAAGGGAGATACTTTAAATATCCTGCCATCTGGACCGTAAATCTAACAGTTCTAGAAATATTTGTCTGCCGACTCACAGGTAACAGGGTAACAATTTCGGAATTAATCACTCCAAAATAGGTAATATGTCACTTCAGTTGTGACAATGACAGAATCAGAAATAAATACTACCTGCACAAAGTACACTAATAAGTGCAAAGTGTACTAATTTGTAGTGCACTATACCTGCACTAAAAATTAGTACTGAAAAAAGCAATCAAGTTTATCATTTATTCAACTAAACATGATTGAGAAAAACTTTAAGCACTCATAGACGCCAAAATAGAGTCCGTACATCAAATACTTTCGGCACTTGAACTTACATCTACTCACTAGTACTTGCCACTTACTCATTTCTTTCTGTAAAAATTGAGATCCTTTTTCTTGCAGAGTTTTGCGCATCCATGTAATAGCTTGAGGAATATTATCCGGTGTAGGTAATTACATCATTGTGCGTGTATTTGTGCAAATACACACGCATCGACTGCATGCATCGGCAAGACACGCATTGCCCGGTCATACGATCGCGTACCTTGCCATATCTAACCTGAGGTTCCATTCTTACATTGAAGCGAGCAATGGTGCAAATGCAATGTTTTTGGCAGCAATTTGACATGTTTGATCGAATGCACTCAAGCCTTAGACAACATTGCGATAAAATTGCCAACTTTGAGAGAAACTCTGCGATTTCCTCCGTAAATGGCAGTTATATAAACTTGGAAATAAGATGCTACATGGCACCGTCCACGCCTAAGTTCCCGGTTTCAGGAACGTGCATAGTTCATACTTTATCTTGGATCGTGATTGTGTTAACGCAATACGGAGATTGTTTTCACTCTAAAATGCAAATTGAAATCCGCTAAATGTTAATATTTTATCCTGAATTAATTCATTTGTCATGAGCCGAGGGAAACCCGGCGCGAGCTACCGATTCCTGATGAAAAGAGGGAAAAATTCCTGTGAGAATCGAAAATAGCCCTCAGCAATAAACAGATAGGGACAACAGTGTATTATATGGATGTGTCGTTATGTAAGAGTTCAGCTAAATGTGAAAAATGGACCCCGGGACACAATCTTCTATTCATGAATGACACACAGAGGGCAATTTCAACACAAAAGTTTCGTTAATACGAGGAGCAAAACATAAAATAACCCTTGCCCTCGGTTGAAAATTTCAAAAGAAAATGCCAACTAGTTTTCTTGAAGGAATTTAATAAAGAAACGAGTGGTGAATACCAACGTCGCAACCGGAGGAATGCATTATCCTAGTCTCTTCATTGTTTTTTGAGTTAAATTCGCCTCCAAATTCAAACTTTTACGCATCAAAAAGTCAGTTTGGACTTTCTTTCCGGCATACAGGGCCGGATTTACCTACTTGCCGCCCATGGGCCGCCTGTATTTTGTCGCCCCCTTCTCATTCGTATTGGAACATCAATAAAAACCATCAAGTGAACGTGCCAGCTAGGGAGGGGTGTATGAGACGCGTTTACTCATGTTGAACACATTTTTTGGGGATGCCCTTTCAACACGACTAACAAGAGTTAAGTTTTGTAAACCTGTTTCTGTGTGGACAAGGCCTTCCATAAATAAGAAATGAACGAAAAAATTATGAAAGAACAAACATGAATGTGGTTTAACTTCCGCCGCCGCGCTGCGCCGCGCCGCGGCCCCGCAGACCGCACCGTGTTTGACGCAATGCGTGAAGTATTCACGCAGTCTTGTAGGCGCCATGCGTTTCATGCTGACCGCACTGTGTTTGGCGCAAAGCGTGAAGTATTCATGCATTCTTGTAGGCGCTATCCGTTTCACGCTGACCGCAATGGCCGCACTGTGTTTGATGCAATGCGTGAAGTATTCGTGCAGTCTTGTGGGCGCTGATATGAGTTACATCCGATCGCCGCGCCGATGGCTTCTCCTTTTCATCTCAAGTCCTCGTCATCATTGCTCTCTGCGCCGCGCCGTTCCAGGCCAAATTGCGTGTTTGGTTTCTCTCTTAACTCGACTAATTAAAGGTGCTGTCTCATGTATCACTGAAAGAGGACAAAATTAAAAATTACTACACTCTCAGGAAATGAGAGATTTTGTCACCTTTTCTCGTTTGTAATTTTGTTTTTCTAACTCCGATATTTTTTTATACCTACATTTAAAAAAATTGCAAAATTTGCCGCCCTCTAGATTTGCAGCCATGGGCTGCGGCCCATCTGGCCACCCCCTTAATCCGGCACTGCCGGCATAGGGATCTATGCAATTTCGAAACTTCGATCCTCTATTTCTCGAAATAGCAAAAACTACACTTATGCATCTTGTCCTCCAGGCCCCTTAGATCATATTTTTAATTTTTCAAGGGATTTCGTGCAGAAATGGCTGAAAAATTGAAGAATTAGAGCTAGTTTGAGAGCCTCAGTTTGAACGTGGGCTGGACGCTTCAGGGATGATGATGATGATGATCAAAGTAATTCTCAGCACAAATCATAGCAGAGTCATTTTGATTAAGTTAAGTTGATGCTTAATTTTTTTTTAGATGAAACACGAATTACTAATAGAGAACTTTTAAAGTATTTTCTCTTGATTTCCCGAGAATTTCGTTTGCGGTTCAATAATTAATTGTTCACGAAAATTTCAAAGAAAAATCGCATAATTTCAAACATAAATAAGAATTTTATGGAGGAGAATTCGGCAACACTAGAATGCTCACACGGCGTTATTTCTGAGCAGGGCAGGAAAAAGAGCCAAAGCAAAGCGGGAGGAGGCCGGAAGCTGAGGCGTGTGCCATTCTTGCTCGCATCGCACATTGACCAAAGCAAGACAAACAGACTCAGGTGCAGGGCTTGCCTGGCGACAATTACGTGTTTACGAACACGCAGAAATCATGTCAATTCACCAGCAATAAAAGTTTGAAATTGAGGTAGGTTAGTATTATAATTTACAGCACAATCTCTTTCCTTCCTCCTTTCCGTGGCGCGGCTCGCCGCCGCGCCATGAGGCGCATGTTGCCGCGATAACGCGACAGGCCGATTTTAATACAACTGGTCAGGGTTCAGCCAGAGC